CTGGTGGTTTGTACACAGCCCTACTACACAAGTCAGAAGCTTATTGTAAATGAGTTTAGCTGCCAAATGCCAGATGTATTGCATGGGGGAAAGGACCTGTTTAATGATGATCCATCCCTGGCATGGTCACGGCCTCCTTAAACAAAAGAGTGAAGGTGGCTGCTGCTTCACCTAGCATCATTTCCCCCAAAAAGGCTCCGGGAAGGCTGAGAAAGCATACGGGCCGCTTAGGGGAACATGCATCCAAGGGCTGTTGTCATTATGTTACCTAGCTAACACCCATGCAAAATGCAGGGAATTCAAGGGTAAAGGTGGTGATGATCCGGACAAACCTCTGGTGACACCAGGCACTAGCCACGTGAATTCGACCAGTGCTTGCTGCTCCAAATGAGTTTTGCCTCCCTTTTAAGGAGTCATTTACTGGGCTGCTTCTCCTTTACATGTTCTAGTGTCAAAATGAATTGAATTCAATGGTCTTGCAAACAACTGACTTGATTTCTTTGCAGATTCTCAGGGAATCCGTTCCCTGCACGAAGATGCGACACTGTCTGTTTGGGGAGGATGCCTGGGATTTCACAGATTCGCAGAAGTTTAGGGCTGGACGGGGCCTCGTGAGATCAAGGGATCCAGCCCCTCCGCTCTGGGCAGGAAAGACTGCTGGGGTCAAATAACCAAATTTCTCCTTCCTGACATGGCTGAAGCCCTATTTCAACTCTAAAACTGAACTCCGGCTTATTGCTGGGGATGCACTCGGGATAACAATACAAATCCCATTCAGGCCTTAATGGAAACACATGCACTAGTATTTGTTCTACCCACAGCCTTCCCTAAGCTGTGATTTGAAGTCAAGAGAGATGGTGTTACTTGGACCAGACACTTGGGGAATATGTTGGCACCAGCACAGCGCGATTGTTTTTTTCTCCGAGTCTATCTAGAACCAGTGCACGCGTCGGCCGGCGTGCAGCCGGTAGCGGTCAGCGCTGCTGGGGTGCTCGAAGTTTGATGTTGATAAGGGAGCAATATCCAGTCTCTTTCTGGTTTCTTGGCTCTTCTGGTTGGAGCGGGGCTGAAAACGTCTGCACCCGGACCAAATTCCGGCTTCGTGACTTGCTTCCTGCCCTTAATCTCCCTTCTGTTTGCTAGCTTGTGTGCATGGTTGGTCAAGTCATCTGTGCTTCCGTGGTGTAAGTGGTCCTTGATAATGTGGGAAAATACTGTGCTGCCAGCACAGGCCATTAAAATCACATTGATTCAACCGGTTGGCCAATATTTGATATTATTTAATTATGCGCTATAATTATTGGTAGCTACAGACCAATCTGTGCATTGGTCTCCGGGGACCGCTTGCGCTTTCTTTGAGTTGTTTTCCAGTCCTTTTCTCATTTGAAATGAGATCTACTTCAGATGTAAGTGCTCTTTGGGGATCTCGTTGCAGTAGGTCATCAGCGTATTTGTCACGTAATTATGTATTTCCCTCAAGTATTGTTTGATCTCCCTGCATCTCCCACAACCCCTTCCCTATCAGTCGCGTACTATGTAAGCAACTCCCCCAGGTACTAACTGAGGTTAATTAATGGCAATTGCTGGGTTTGAAAGAGGTTTCAAAGTTTGGTCAACAGCAAGAGATAACAATAAGAGAAGCGGCTCAGAGAGGCGTTCCTCATCCTGCTGA